GAGCGGCGGGCGCGGGGGGCGGCGGCGGCGCCCGGAGCCCCGAGGAGCCTGGAGGAGCCCGGAGCCCGTGGAGCCCGCGGAGCCCGCGGAGCCCGCGGAGTCTGCGGAGCCGGGCAGGGGGCGCTGCGCTCGCCGCGCTCGGAGGGGCCGCCGGGCCGGGCGCCGCGCACTCGCGTCGGGAGCCGCCTCTCCCCCGCGGCGCTCGCCCCGGCTCCCCGCCAGTATCGCCCGTCCCGCGGCCGCGCTCAGACAACAAAAGCGGAAGATGCTGCAGTTGGGCAAGGTCAGGACCTTGCCCTGAAGCCGGGCGGCGGCGCGCACGCCTTTTCCCGGACTGAGGAGCTGTCGCCGGTGGCGGGTGCATGTTCTCCAGGAAGCAGTCGGGCTCCGCGCCGTTGGGTGAGTTGCTTTCGCTCGGCTGCCGGGGCCAGGCGCATCCTCCTCCTCGGCGCCGTCCTCCTCCTCGCCCTCCTCCTCCTCGCCGCCGCCGGTGGGGGTTGGTCCTCTGCTCCCGACCGGCTGGCGGCCGCCGCGCGCTCCTGCCAGCCGGGGGAGGACTGCGATCGCGCCCTGTCCCCTCTCGGAAGACAGCTCTGCTTGGAATGGGGACCGGGGTTAGTGCCTTTCTCGGAGCGGTTAGCAAGTGGCTTCTTGCGTGCTCCCCCTCCCTGCCACCCCTCTCCCCCGGCGGAGGCGTATATAGGGCAACACCAACAATACTGCTCCCCGCCACCTTCAAGAACATACCCGTTGCCTTCATGACGTCCCTAATATACAGAGAAGACGGGGTGGGGGTGGGGAGGGTTTCCCTCTAGTCTTTTGCCCTTACGTTCAATGTCATTACGATGTTTGGCTAGAACAAAATGGAAATACTTAGTCATATGCGTCCATGGCCGTTTCTTCGGTCTCCCGCTGCTTGCCAGACCCAGAGCCCCTTTGGTCTATATTTAGCGGTTTCAGAGGAAGCCTTTTCAGCTCGATTCACAGGTTTCGGGGGCTTCTGCGTCCTGACAATAGATAGCGAGGCTCTGGAAAGCGCCGCCTGAAACCCAGGTTCGGAACGCTTGTGCATGTGTGTGGGAGATTGCGATGCGATATTTGGGTGATCGGTAATTAATGGCTGAAAGCAAAGCTGCTTTTCTTTTTCGCCGACCTTCCTCTTATTCTGGTGTGTAATGTGTTTTCATCGATTGCTGCTCAGCTGGTTCGAGCCACTACGTTCAGAATTAAGTCACTGGAGAGGTGGTGCAGCCTCCTTGGTCCTGTGGTAGGAAAACAGTCTTAGGGATTTTGGGGGTGTGTGTGTATGTGTGTGTGTGTGTCTATGTGTGTGTTTCCAACAAAGAACAGCTACTTCCAAAATGCCTAAAGTTGTGTTGAGATGTAAATGGAGGGGAAGTGAAGGGTGTGTTATGTACAGAAAAAGAGGGGCAGTTGTGGATCCAAGATGTTTTGTTCCCCTTGTGTGCTTTGGTTGAACTGATCTGATTTGTTTTGGCCCTGAAAGGTGTTGTTAACATGCATGCCTAATGTTATCAAGCAAATACGTTGGTGTAGAAAAGGAATATGTTATAAGCCTGCTGTCGGGCCTGACATGCATAGATTTTCACTTTTCGGAACTGTGTGACCAATATTTAAGATGCTTGCAATTTTCTGCACCGACTTCCATGAAAATAGGGAGGTGGTTAAACTACGAAGAGTTCTCTCATTGTGCATCTTTCCCTCTAGCTCCGAGTCCGGTGGTAGCCCAGTCCGTCTTCTCGCAGTTAGTAATTCACCTACCGGTTTCAAAGGCTTCCAAGCTGCACCACTTCTAAAATCCCAGGGAGAAGTGTTTGATATGACTCATGTGGAATTACAGGGATGAACCTATGTGTGATTTGGGGGGCTTATTCTGGGAGAGTGAGCAGGCATCCTCAAATAGGGACTGGATGCTTTGAACTGCCTTAAATTCTTTGCCACACGCAGAATCCATTTTTAATGTTTCAGGGGAAAATGTTAAGTGGCATCCCTACTGCTCTGTGGGTCACAGGATCTCAGGACTTGAATGAAGACGCTTGTATTCCGAGTTAGATGGTGAAATTGGGAAGGCCTGTAATTATACAACTAGCAAGTCTCAGCGTTGCAGGAAGGACTGGCAAGCTGCATAGGGCTGGAGCTGGCTGAACGGTGTGGTTAGCTCTGTGTGTTCTACTGTGTTAGTTCCACCTTATTCACATCTAGAAAAACTCCCCAAGAGCGCTTTGAACACATTGTTGTGCTCGCTGCTTTGTTTTAATATAAAATTTCTTTCAAAAAGAAGCACAAGGTGAGGGAGATGCTCCTTTTCTTTCCTTTTTTTTTTTTTTCCCTTTTCAGTCTGCTGTTCAGTTTTAAACATGACTCTTAAAGGACTAGTAGATGTTGTTCTGTGCTTAGGTTTGTGTGCAGAGAGCTGCCGAAGAGCATGGAGAAAAAACTACATGTGTTGTGTATGTGAGTTTTATGGTATATTGTGGATTGAAAGTGATACCACCTGATTGAATGGCAATTGTAGTAAGCACATGAGGTTGTTGCTCTAATAAAATTGTCATAGTCTTGCGGAAAGGAGTTATTTAATTTGGTGAATGTTTGTGTAGTTGTACAACCTAATCATTATAGCTGTCACTAATGTTTTCATTGTTTGTAATAAAAGTCATGCACTGTCAAATTACAATATTTCTATCAACTCCACATCTTCCGCAGTAGAATGCAAGCCAAGACTTTCTCCCAGTGAAATGGTTCATCGGGGAGAAAATGAAATTCCAATGAAATTAGTAGGAAAAGGCAATTTATAGTTTTGTTAAAAAATTTCTAAGGATAATGTCACTTTCATAATGACCTTTAAACTTAAAAATGAAGTTAATCGTATTCTCAAATATAACATTAGTTTTGACATACAATTGAATATGCAGGGCTCTCCTGAAAATATTATAGAACTCGTTACTTCCCGTGGTGCTTTATCAAATTCTCTTTGATATGGTATGCATTTAGGTGGGACTGTTGGTGAGTTCTGTAATTTGATCAGGTTTTCCTTATGTACGAAAACAGTAAAAGCTTCATTTAAAATCATTTTTTGTAATTTGTCCGTGAAGTCAGCTATACTTTCTGTGGACCAGTGTATCTGGTTGTAACAAGCCCGTTGGACTAAAGTGGAAACTGTTGCATTGCGAACTGCCAAATTTTTTTTTTCCTTCTTCTTTTTCTCATGACTATCCACAGAAGGTTTGGACAGTCATTTATGATTGTTTCTCTGTGGAAACTTTACTTTTACTTCTGTGGTGGGGAATTAGTGATGCTAGTATGCTCTTCCTTTAAGTTTTTTTTTTTTTTTAAATAAAGATTTTTATCTTTAGAAGATGTCACATAGTTGCGAGTATTTCAGCTGGACCACCGAATTCAGAAAATGAGTTCCTTCTGAATGACCATTCAGAGCCTGACTACCAAGAGAACTCAGGCAGATATTCTTAAATCCAGTATTGTCACAGAAGGTGTGGTACAAGGGGTCTTTAATGGCTGATTCACAGGTTAGAAATACATTTTCAAGCCAAATTCTTTGTTGGCTTCCATGATGGTTTTCATCATCCATATTCCAAAGGTGTTCTCAGGACTTCGATGGCTTTGTGATAAGTGTTATGTGGATGTGGGTGAAAAGTTAATTTGAGTGGGAACAGTTCACAATACTTGTTGCTGGCTTCAAGTTTATCTGATTATATGCCAAAGCCACAGCTTTTTGTATTAATGTAAAATATTAAATGTGTCATAGATAAATAGCTTCTATCACATTGTCTGCCAGTCTAACCCACTGATTAATACGTTGCCTGGTTGGGTTTCATGAATCTAATTATGTTCACAAACAGTGCCTCTGACACAGGAAACTCACTGAACTATTTTATCGTACTGTGCTTTTAGTCCGTTAAAAACGTTAAGACTCATAACAAAAATATGTAGTGATGACACTTGCAATTGTTTATCTTTTGATCATACAGCTGTTAAGTATGATCTCAAGCTCCATATCACAGTTAATTGATTTGTAGGAAATGTCTTAGCTATATTAGGATATTGAAGTTATACTCTATATCAATTAGTTTTTGACAAATTGCAAACAGTACTTTCTAGAAGCGTTTCATCTTAGATACATGTTCACGTGTATCCCTTGGTGAGGTTCCTGAGAAGTTATTTGCAAGATGAATTACATCTTTTGGAACTTATTATTCCACTAATTGTCATTTCATGTCAGAAATCTATTTCTAGAGGAAGAAGTTGGGCTTCGACCTACAAAGATTATTTATATGTGTGTGTGGGTGTGTGTGTGTGTGTGTTTGTATAATGTATAACCTCTATATTATATATAAAATACATATTTAAAATAATGAAACATGTTTATATTATAGAGCAATGCTGTTTGGGATTCTTCTTTGCGTAGGTGCAGACAGAGGTGTGGAGCGAGCTCTGGCTTTGGGTGGATCCCAACTGTGTCTGTTTTTAGCTGTGTCCTTGACCATTTATGTTATACTTAGACTTAAGCTCAGTTGTTTTTTTTTTTCAGCTGTGAAATGGGTACAAAAGGAAAGGACAGAATATCTGAAGAGATTGATTTCAGGATAAAGTAGATAAAAGCATAAGTGGCTTGTAAAGTATACTCATTTACACAAACACAGGAGACATGTATCTGTTTATTAAGAAAGATACTTATACTTCATTTGGGTATTACTAAATGTTATACAGGGCTCCACCCTCTCTAACAAAAGCTATTAAATGGATATATTCTTTCCCTATTCCTATTGTAATATTATTTTATTATGTAGGTTTGCATAAAGTATATTGAGTTTTCTGGTCTACAGCATACCAGTCCTTTACATTTTAAAATATATATTAGTTAAGCTAAAAGAAAAGCCAGTTATATCTCCCACCACCATTATTTTTAAAAAAAAAAGATTCTAGGGGCACCTGGGTGGCTCAGTCGGTTAAGCATCTGCCTTCGGCTCAGGTCATCCCAGGTTCCTGGGATGGAGCTCTGCTTTGGGCTCCCTACTCATTGGGGAGTCTGCTTCTCCCTCTCCCTCTGCCTCTCCCCCAGCTTGTGCTCTTTCTCTCTTGCTACTCTCTCTCTCAAATAAATAAATAAAATCTTAAAAAAAAAATAGAAAAAGATTCTAATCAAAGAGCCAGAAATTATAAAACTTTGATGTTCTCTGTTAGTGTTATATCATTCACCCGATTAATAGAAAATTTTCTATAAGATTCGTACAAACAATATTATAGAGAGTTGAAGAAACATGACCTCCCTTTCTATGAGGTCACATTTTAAACATGTGCTCTGTTGGGAACCACAGGGAATGAATCCCATCATAATATCATTGTAACAAAAAAGAAAGAAA